AGCGTTGTATAGTAGTTGGTTTGTTTATTTGAATATTGCAATATAATTGTAGCAAAATCAGCTTGTGCTTGTATATATGAGTTTTTGAGATTATTTTTTAATATGATAGTTTCCTTTATCCTTCCTACAATTGAAATAGTAAATCCTTTTGAATGTCTATATGTACTGATGCTATTAGTTTTACTTTTTCTAGGCATTTTTAGTGAAGCTATAAATTTGTATGAAAATTGAATTTTGTAGAAAGCGAAGATTTTTTGGACAAATTTAAAATCGATTTGTTAGTTTATTATTTAGATTTTATTTGATAAAATATTACAATAAATGTTTTAAAACAGAACAGGTATACAGAAAAGTTAACTTTGGATTAAGAGAGCCCTTTTATAGCAAACTCGATCATGAACTTTTATTGTCTATTTATAAATATATTATATCTTTATATAATCACCGGCAATATACAGTATGTATTAAAATATGATACTGTATATTGATATCAAATGAATTTTGTATAATACAAGGCGAATGCACAGCATTGTATGTCCAGTCCAGTTATACTAATAATTAGCAACACATGATAATATGTAAATTGAATAATGATACCGAATTTATTATGTTAAAATAAATTTGGTTCTGAATTTTAATATATTTATACAATTAAAGTTAATTTTGTAAACTTAATTAATTGCTTAATTAGGATTGGTAAGATAATAGAACCGATGCGTTTTAATACGCGTGCTAAGCCTCAAAAATACTGCATGATAATGCATATTTGCAAAAATCAAGGTTTTGAGAAAATGTAAAAAAAAAATTCTTTTTTTTTTAAATAATCAAGTTTTTTTTTATAACAAAGAAAATTCACGTGCTAAGCCCCAAAATGCTGCGCGATAATGCACATTTACAAAAATCAGGTCTCAAGTAAATGTAAAAAATTTCTCTATTTTTTTTTTTTGAATCATTAACAAGTTTCTTACAATTATTATGCATGAGAATTAGTTATGCATAGTTTAGATTTCGATGAATTTATTTAAAATCGTTAGAAGTACCTTTAGGCTATGCGAAATCACATTTCTCAAAAATAAATTGCAAAATAGATTTCTTCAATATCTTTTATCTTACAATATTTTTATTTATTTGCTATTTAATTATTGATTTGCCAAAAACTGAATCCACCCAAGAAGTGTTCAATGAATATCTAACCGATGATGAATTTATTCATGTAATATATGTTGAAAAGTTAATAAATGAAATGAATAATGCAAATGAAACGAAAGATAATAATCTCCAAATGGAAGAAGAAAACAGTTTACTTAAGACAAAGCTTAATAAATCGAGTGATTTTACATTAAAAGAGATTGAATGAATTAGAAAAGAAAATTTACTCCTCAAGCAAGAGAACGAACGAGTCAGAAATAAATATTTGCTTTTTAAAAAAGAAAATGAACAAACTAGAAATGATAATAAAGTTCTAAAAACAACAATTGACCAAGCAAATTTTATAAACTCGAAATGTTCAAATGACATTGTAAAGAAGCAAAGGTTTAAGAATAAAAAAAGAATTTTTGATTTGGAAATAGAAAGATTTTTAAAAAAATTGAATTTAATCAATCTATCATTAGCCCACATATGGGGCCAATTCTTTAATGATGACAGTAACATTGAAATTATTGAATTGAAAATTAAATATCTCGATAACATTATTCATTGCCAGTTAATTCCAGAATTAATAAATAAATTAATTTGAAAGAATGTTTTTAATTTTATTAGATTAAATATAGAATGGTTTCTTCGTTCATATAAATGTAGGGGTAAAGAAGAATAACTTAGAAAATGATTTAGTGGTGAAGGTTAGAATTTGGGATTTATTTAAAGTTTCAACGCTAAGGGATTCATTTGATCTTTTTTGTTTCAAAAAATTTTTAATATAATTTTGACAGTTCAGATGTTCAGATGAATGTCTACTTTTCGTAGTAGAATCTTCATTTGTGGGTATTCAACCTTTATCTGAGCAAATGGATTCTTGTAGATAGTCCTCATAAATAAGGAGGAAAACCGATAGCGAGAACAGGGAACAAAAAGGGGATGAATCATATTCGCTATTAAGGGTAGGGAGTATAGATTGTAAATTATATATAAAACTCATGGTATCTATATCTTTTCATAGATATCACTAGTGAATAGTCACAAAACATGTGAATTCGTAAAGCAAAAAACATTACTAAAAAAAAGCACTATTAATTCTTATTGTCTCCTATAAACAAGTAAATCTAATAAAAATTGAGTTAATTTCGCAATCATAACATACAACAGTAATTGAAAAAAAGAAAATTTAAATTCAGAGTTTGAAATCGCTAAAAGCCTAAGAATAACCTTTATTAATCATTTATATACAACCTGATACCTAATTTTAACAAGCATAGTGTGAGCCCCGAAATTGGTCCTAACGCTAACATTATCACGGTTACACGTGATCGATCGTCGAATTAAGGTCCCGTCCCCTACCCGAGTAAATGGTCACATGAAAAGTAAAAGAAATTTTACTTTTCTTCCTTCTATTACTTTTATTACTTTTATTACTTCGGGTAGATCGATGATATATAGAACAATCGGCTCTTCTTTTTCATAGTGGGAATAAGGGTTTTAGCAGTAATATAGTGTAAATAAGTAATGTAGAGGAAATTAACCTCGAATGTAAATAATTCTTTTATTATAAATAAAGGGCTTCTCGCCCAGAGCGATACCCCCAAGTAAATACATTTGCATAATAAAACTAAGTGCACGTCCCTTAATAAAAGTGAAAGTACTATCCTATCCAGACTAATAAACTATCGTTAATCCCATTGTTAGTGATAGAGGTTGGAACCGGTTTTAATAATTCGGGTTTATCACGTGAATTTTGGATATTTTAGAAATTTATCCAATTAAATTTTAATAAAGGGAAAGTCTCCGGACACTTACCATTCATGTGATTTTGTACTTACCAAATATAAGCCAACCAATCAAAGCTAATCTAACTCTAACGCTAATGAAAATTTTTGCTGATCCTTTCTACCAGCCAATCAAATCGCTGGATACGCACTGTATGTACTATACATACTGTACATACTGTACGATAAAAAAAGATAAAATAGAGGATTGTTTCCTTCTGAATAAAGACAGCTATTTTACGACCATTAATGCTTTTCAGAGTTTGGAATTTGGGACTCCTTTATCAAGAATTCTTTAGAAAAGTTAGTTAATTTAGGTCATTGACGAGCATTAAAAACAAAAGTCGTGAAAATAATACAATTCAATAAAAACTCAGTTCATTCTCCGACGGCATCTTGATGCCGTAGGAGAATGAAATGAGTAATATAATATTATTGATGTGACTATTGATCACAATTAATGTCAAATTCCAACTTAATGCGTCAAATTAGTTTACCATAGTGTTTATATTTTTCTAAGTTAACCGCCTATATTAAGCATAATTTATGCCATATTAAGCTTTAATATAGGGCTTTATGTAGGCCAAAATATTAAACTACACTATGGGGCATTATTTTGAAATGTTATAATCGTGGAATAATTCTTTATTTACTTTGTTTAATCGTAGAATAATTCTTCATGTGCATACATTATTGAATTAACCAAATTAAAATTTTTTAAGAATTTTATTTTTAGCTTCGTTGGGTTAGTCCGATGACATGTGAACCATTTCTATCTTGTCCCTAACCCTAAATTTTGTATGTTTCGAGGTTATTTCAGTGTGACCTTTTCTATTATTTATAAATTTTATACTGAGGAAATCATTATTGTTTCTTCTCTTGTTTAGTAAGTCTGTCCCAACATTCTTTTCTCTCTTTCTTTTTTTTTCCACTTGGATTTCGTTATTTGTTTTATTCAATTTATTTTTTGATGATCTTTTAGCTGCCATTTTTTCGATGTTTGATAATTCTATGTTAACAAGTTCAACCCACTCATCGCAAGCACCTTCTATTTGAAAGTCAATTAAGCCATTCCATTCTTTAGTAACTACATCTGTAGCATTCACCAATATCACGTAACCATTACAGTCATGAATCGCTCTAGCAAAGTCTTTTATAAGAGCTTTAACTCCAGGAATTCTTAAAGAAGTTCCAATTATAATCAAACAATCAGCTTTATGTTGATCTTGTGCTGCGATTTGATTAATTTCCAATCCTTTAGGATGTGAATCACCATACAGGATTATTGTCGGTTCTAGCTGTCCAATTGTATGAGGACGCTTTCCTTCTTTGATCCGAACATTTTCTATTTATTGAAGTAAAAAAAATAATTAATCATTAAATCCACTAAAACTTAAAATATAATTGATAAAAAAATTATGTACTTACCTCTCTCTTCACATCCGGTGCATTTTGGCACTTTACTTTGCTTGAAAATATCACAATATTGCAGTGTAAACTCATATATACTTGTGCAAACATTACATCGTAACTTTGCAAGAGTTCCGTGTAATTGAACTACTTGAGCTTTATTATTTTTAACTTTTTCAAATTGCCAATCTACGTGTAATCCCACTAGTTCTTCAAGATTATCTATATTTTGTGTATATACGTACTCTTTTTAATTTTTTCATATCCGCCAATTTTTTTATAAATTTATGAGCTTATTAGATCGCTATATCAAGAAATTGGAACTAGTGGACTTGAGAGCGATAATGTGAATCGTCTAATGTCTCTAATGTCTTTATATAATTCTCACGAAACCGATTGGATAGAGTATACTACATACAACAGTAGCACATATACAAAGAATCTTGTAGACAATGGAAATGGCACTTTCAACCTTATCGTAATGGGTTGGGACTATGGAGTAGCGAGGTAAAGTCACAGATCTGATTTATTGTTATCGACATATTATTAAGATTATTTCATTCTACTGCAACATCCTAGTCCTATCCATAACCATCCTAATTCCCATTGTATTTTGAAAGTCCTTGCTGGTACTTTGGTAGAGTTTAAATATTCATTGCCAAATAGAATGTCTCAACAATCTATGGGAAGCAATGTAATTCCAATGAATCTTATTGAGAAAGCAACGTACAACCGTGATCAGGTAACTTACATTCATGGTAAGTGATTTATCTCAACATATATTGTTTATAGATGCCTGACGAAACTATTTTGTCTGACGAAACTATAAGTTTCGTCATAGTTTCGTCAGGTCACGTGAGTTTCGTCAGGCATCATTAATATTGTTTCAATGAAAAATATGCTAATTTTTTTTCTGTTCAAACTATATAGATGAGATTGGTGTACATAAAGTATTCAATCCATCTAAAACAGAACGTGCTGTATCCCTCCATCTTTACAGTCCACCTTAGGGATGTTAAACCAGTTAAAA